GGTTGGTGAGTAATCAATGCCACCATACACACAGTTGGGAGGAACTTCTTCAGTGCTGAAAGTGTTGGGGTGGGCACTAAGGAGAACAATAACTGCAGCTCATCCTCATTTCACAACAATTTACTTCACATATTGAGCCATCCTGCCTTCACAGATATTAGCACCATGGCTTTTTTTGTACTGCGTGAACGTGGGGGAACTCCAGCACCGAATGTATGTAAAGGCAAGGGGTTCTCGGGTGTCTATTGATGCTGTCTGCTTGATGTCTATTGTTGCTACTAGGGATTTATTGTTGTTGGGGCAGTCTTATGTTGCTGGGGGGGGGGGTCATTTTGTTGCTGACTTCAGGGGGGGAGGGGGGTCTATTAATGTTTGCTCCTGAGAGATCTATGATTACTGGCGGGGGTTTATTACTGCTGGGGGAATCCTTTTGATGCTGGGGTGTCTATTGCCGCTGGGAAGATCTGGAGAGTTATTGTTGCTGGGGGGAGCCATTGTTACTGGCTGCAGGGGATCTACTGTATGTTACTGCTGTTCTTGTTATAATTAACACTTCATAAAAATGACTTAGCACCACAAAATAATACTTGGTTTTGTATTCTCTAAAAGGGGTGGTACTGGTAGGTGTATAGGGGGTGGAGCCAAGGGATGGTGCTCAGAGCTGAGTAAGGGCAGAGACAAGGGGTGACTTAAAGGGGAGGAGTACCTGCACCCAGCTCTGTGGATAAGGGGGTACCATCAATCCTCCTGTACAGGGCCCAGGCAAGCATGAGTGAATCGGGTGTGGACAGGGAGGGTGATCGGCACAGTGGGGGGGGGCAATTACTGGAACTGATCCCCTGTATGGCTCTCTCTGTAGCAGCTGAAAGTTGTCTTTCTCTCCACCCGCTGGCTTTCAGCTGCTGCAGAGAGAGCCATACAGGGGATCTGTTCCAGTAATTGCCACCCCGCTGCATCGCTCACCCTCCCTGTGTGCCGTACATTTCTCCCTGCTGCCCACGCCCCCCCCCGTGCGCCCCCACCCCCGCAGTGGTGCCAGCTTCCCTTCTCTCCTCCCCACCAGTAGCTGCAAGCACACAATAGGATCCTTCAGGATGGAGAGAGAGGGAAGGGTTCTGTGAATACTGTATGTCACATTATTCATTTTAGGGTGGGGGCCCTGTCAGGTTGGTTATATGGGGCGCCATGGTTTCTAACAGCATCCCTGTCTTTGGGGGAAACAAAAAAAAACGCCCTGGCGAGCAAGTTGTGAGGAGCAATGTGTGCCAAGTGCCCTGTTGTACTACTTGTGTGTGTATAGGCTAAATGTGATTGGTCCATCTGTGTGTACAGGGTCAAAATGTGATTGGTCATTCTGTGTATACAGGGCCAATATGTGATTGGTTCTCTTTCATTTCTATAAATCAGTGGAATGGAAAATGGTCACTGTCACAGGTGGCAACCAGTCAAGTTGATTGATTTCTGATTAGATCTATGGCTTTCTGTATTTAGTTCAGATTTTGATTTTCAGGAATATATATTGTGGTGTGCATATGTTCATCCCTGTGATGATTATATGATGGCACGCTCTTTAACTTCATAAATATTATTAGCTATTCTGTGAATGTTGTGTTTTGGTCTTCTCCTGTGAGATTTATTTAGAATTCATAGCAGTGCTTGTTCTTGTTTTCCAATTGTTATTCCGAGGATTTGCCTGCTAGTCAGAGGAGACATGTTACATAAGATGTGGCTTCCTCATTAAGATCAAGGCCATCTTCCAGGACTCCTTGCACCTGCAGTAATGGAGGCCAGAGGCTTGTCCTTGCTCTGTCCATGGTGTGCATTAATATACTGCAATCTTACAGCTCCAACTGACCTCCTACATTATTAGCCCTAATGATGCTCCCAGGTTGTTCTCCTTCCTTCTCAGCTGATGTATAAGCTACAAGGAGGAAAGGATGTACAGCGGGTAAAATAAGTATTGAACACGTCACCATTTTTCTAGGTAAATATATTTCTAAAGGTGCTATTGACATGTTGGTAACAACCCATACAATCCATACATACAAAGAAACCAAAACAAATAAGTTCAGAAATTACGTTATGTGAAATAAAATGAAATGACTGAGAAAAATTGTGATGTGTTCAATGCATATTTTATCCGGTGTGTGTATGTGTGTGTGTATGTATGTGTGTGTGTGTGTGTGTGTGTGTGTGTGTGTGTGTGTGTATGTATATGTGTGTATATATATATATATATATATATATATATATAAAATCACTACCCACAGAGGGGCTGCTGTGTGTGTGCAAAATTCTGGAATTAAAGTTTTTCTAAACCCACAACGGTAAACTTAGTCTGTATATGCAGTAAAGCATGCTTGTTATACTCACTGTGGAACTTGAGGGGTTAATCCTCCAGATTTTGTAAAAAGGCTGTTTGATCCTGTCTTCTCTGATCCTCCCCTTCTTCTACTGTCCAATCCATCTGCTGATAGTACAGAACTCTAGAAGTCTCCCTCTGCACATGCTCAGTTAAGTGTGTTGCTAGAGAGTGTTTTTTTTCTTTGGGAGGGTGCATGTGATCAGCACATGGCCAATCAGCACTGTCCAGATGGTCAGAAGTCATGAGGCCTCATAGAGCAGTCAGAGCAGAATGAAGACTCCTCCTACAAGCTTTAACATGTGCTCTTCTGGACTCTGGTAGAAGTCACAAGAGTGCTCTAACTGCTGATGAGAAAAGGTATTTAGCAGTTTATATTTACTAAAATAATTGCATTTCCATGTTCTGTGTACTGAGGGAGACCAGATATAGTGAATTCAGGGTCCTGTGTTTAGTAAAACTTTACACCCCGGTCACATCAAGCCCAACTTTGAAATTGTGCGACTTACAGTGAAGTCACACGATTTCAAAGTCGGGAGACATGCCAATTTCAGGTGCGATTTGCAAGACATCTGACACGTGTATGCAAATCGCACAAAAAGTAGTGCATGTACAACTTAAGAAATCGGTGCGGCTCCAACCGGCGACCGGGTTGTTAAGGTATGAGCTGACCTTAATTGATTAAGTGCATAAACTTACCAAAGCGTTCACTATTTACCCTCTAAAAATTAAAATAGAAGTCTATTCTGGCACTGTTAAAAAAAAATACAGAAAAAGAATGTTAGTTAACATGAATCCTGCAGCCCAAGGTGATAGACAGGGATAAAGTAATCTAATACAGTCAATTTAGAAAAGCGAAATCCCAACACAACAGATCGATGTACATGATGAACTTTGAATAATGCTACTATAACCCAAATACAATTGAGGGGGAGTCTCAGAAAGATCACTCCGCAGGCTCCAAGCACTGACTCACAGCTCTCCATGTGGCCTGTGAGCAGGAGAAGATCACTTCCAAAAGTCAGCTATGGAGAGTGCAGAGCCAACAGGATGGGAATAGCCATCAGCTGGTGTCCGCACTGCAGTGTCCATACTGTGCTCAGGGGCTAATAAATGGAGATTTTCAGTGTGACAGGGTTACAAGTTGTGGAGGGTCTAAACTGCAGACTCTGAGATCTCCAAAGGGCCACACATAACATTCAGTATATGACAAACACGTACTAATGAGATTGCAAACATGCAACAGGGATTGGGGGGGGAGACTGCAGACCACTATGGAAGATAATGAGAGACTAGGGACAGGCAACTTGCGACTGCTAGAGATCTCTGGCATTAGACCATTTTACAAATGAATGCTTTCACTACTGACTGCTGGGGTGGGCAAAGGTCCACATGGCACGTACCAAAGGGCAATATGTGTCCCTCGGGCTACCGGTTGGGCACCACGGGTCCTCAGTATGCTCAGGCACTAGTGAGAGCATTTTCTTTCATGTGACGGTAGTATCCACAGTTGCTGTAGACACTACCCTGTTGTCCAGGATGTAAGCACACTCCAGTTTTAACCCCCCCAACCCCTGTGAGTCAGAACCTATCTTAATTGGTACGTCTTTTTTTTTTTTTTTTTTTTTTTTTATCTTTTATCGTGTATTTATTTATTTTTGACATTGACACTTATACTGCATATAATATCTTAAAATATATTCATTACCCAGAAAGAATCTAATTGTTCACTAAATGAATGAAAAAAAAAGCTAACTGCCTCATGGGTCTTTGAACCTCACCCAGGAATGAGAAGAGGCTTTTATAACTCACCTGTCCCTCCGATCATCACTACAGCAACGCACTGTCCACATGTGACACACTTTCAGATGTTGCATGTACCCGCTCCCCACTGCACGCTGTAGCCGCTCCTGCATTTGTCACAACAGGACTCCGCAGAGACATATAGGCCAGCGGAAAGAACCATGGTGCATGTCGGGGGGACACGGAAGTGTAAAGATCGGAGGAACAGGTGGTGGGAATGGTGAGCAGAAACCCTATTCTTTTGCAGATTCTGCTTTGTGGTACCCCAGTGACAGAGCTTCTTTACAGCTGTAACAGTTTATGATAAACATCCTTAGACAAAACTGTCCTTTTTTGCTTCCATCATTACTGTGAACCCCCAGAACCCCAGTGCCTCCAGTGATGACAGTGCGTCCAGAAACCCATTGTGTCTTGTTTACCTGGCTTTATGTGCATTTGAGTGCAGCAAGTTTGAGTCGTGTCAATTGACCTGTTTGTCACGTAGTGTTGGATTCTGGTGGAGAGTTTAATAGAGCGCACGGTATATGATGAGAACGTTCTTCCCTCTCTCTCTGGCATGTTACGACAGAGCCACGGAGATGTCACTTCTACTTCTTCTGATGTCTTCATCTATACAGTAATGCTGAATAAACAGCTGATGAAATATGAAATTTAAGACCAAATCCCTCAAGGGATGTGCAACTTCACTCAGTGCATTCATTTATTACACACTGCATTTACACTCTTCTGCAAACGTAGATGTGACAATGCATTATAGACGTGTGCTGCTAATGAATAAACAGAGTGGGGTTACCCAGTCCTCAGTGTTCAGAACTATGTATTTCAGAGTAATTTCATGTTCTGCTCCTATCAGTGTCTTGGTGTTGTATTCTGCCTGTTTTTTCATAGTATTGTTTTTTTCCCACAGCTCACACTGACCGAGGAGCAGAATGAAGTGAGTAGAAACGGCTGTGAGTCAAAGGAGCTGGTCTTCCTGGTGCAAGTGGCGTGTCAGGTACATATTACTTTAACTGGCTCTTCCTTTACTTGTGTGACTGTTCTTACTTGTCATAGCTGGGGCCATCAATAACAAAAACGTGTGGCAATTATTCCTATAATTATTATTTGTATTCTTTTTATGACATTATGGGGAAGATTTACTAAAACTGGAGCACTCAGAACTTGGTGCAGCTGTGCGTTGGTAGCCAATCAGCTTCTAACGTCAGCTTGTTCAAATAAGTTTTGTCAATAAAACCTGGAAGCTGATTGGGTTCTATGCAGAGCTGCACCAGATTTTGCACTCTCCAGTTTTAGTAAATCACCCCTATGTGACCTTCCTATGGAGGTTTTCTTCAGCAGTAAAAAACCCACAAAAGATGCAGTAGAGTATACCATTTCTGCAATTAAGTTTTCAAACAATCACAGTCTCATCATAAATTTAACATGACAATATAACATGCTGGAAGGTTGTGGTCCTGTGATATCCGGAGTAGAGATTACAGAATCAGTTTGTAGATTGGGTTTTGGTTTTATCTTTGTGAATTACAGTTCATCTGATTTGTGGCAGTCACTAATCCAGACATTCAATGATGAGGAATTTCATGGCTGCATACACAGTGGACCTCTATATACACACATTTAGGTGATTTAAATTTTTTTTTATTTGCCAAAAAAAAGATGAGATTTGTCAGATTTATCCGATACACAAAGCAGTTTGCTCATCTCTAGTGGCGAGGCCCAGTTCTGATAGAACATATGCACATTATAAATTATGTGAGAGAGCACAGAAGGGATGGATCTAATCCCAGAAGGACGGCAGTTCCTGCAGCTGTGCTATATTATTGGCTGCGATTCTCACTACTTGATCTGTTTTTCTTTCACAAAATGAGTGCATGATATAAATAATGATGCGGAAAACAGGTGCAGACACTAACCGCAGGCCCGGATTGTGTGCTGAACTGGGATTGTCATGTTCCAGTTGTCCTTTTGTGAACATTCATAGATTGACTTCAACAGTATTATTTTTGGGCGAAAGTGGTTTATTGTGTACCAAATGAAGGTCAGAGGCGTAAATGATTTCCAAGGTTGGGTATGTTGCCATTGCTGATAGTCTCTCTGGATGCATGGGCAATGCAGACAGTTCTGCTTTCTGCAACAATCCTTTGGTATTCATAAATGTGGTACAGGGAGGCAATGGGAATTCATCACTGTTTCATCACTGTGATGTATTCAGAATCTGCAGTAAAGAGTCATGGGGTATACAAGTTGGTATGTTTTTAACCATAACGCCAACGTTTAATGATGATTGGATATATCAGCACTGACAGAATCTGTGTTGGCTTGTTTGGCACCATCTGTAGCCCACAATTTACATTCAGCTGTGTGCACAAGGTAAGTTCTTTGGGTGGTAATTTCACTTGCAGGTGGTGCTCACTAATGCCATATGTATTCATGCTACTGTGCTGAGAAATGGGAAATTTATAACAGATGTGTGTAGTTGGAATCCTGATTAGATATTAGAGATGTGATGATGGCTGATTCCCTTTGGCATGCTGTGTAGCATGTGTTGTAATAGACTGGATACACTGATATCCCTGTTCTTTGGTGAATGTGCCCAGTGAGTGGTCTGTGTTTGGGGAAAAATTGTGCCCAGAGACATTTACTAAAGGAGTTGAACAATTTTGCTCACAAATTGTGTACATATTCGCTTCAGTTATCCAAACATGTGAAAAAATTCCTTGTTCACTTTGAATACTGAACTACATTATATTGCCACAAATATTGGGATATCCCACCAAATCATAGGATTCAGGTGTTCCAATCACCTCCATGGCCACAGGTTTATAAGATCAAGCACCTAGGCATGCAGACTGCTTCTACAAACATTTGTGAAAGAATGGGTTGCTCTCAGGAGCTCAGTGAATTCAAGCGTGGTACCGTGATAGGTTGCCACCTGTGCAATAAGTCCATCCGTGAAATTTCCTTGTTACTAAATATTCTACAGTCAACTCTTAGTGGTATTATAACAAAGTGGAAGACACTGGGAACAACAGCAACTCAGCCACGTAAAATGACTGAGTGGGGTCAGTGCATGTTGAAGCGCACAGTGAGCAGAAGTCGCCAACTGTCTGCAGAGTCAGTAGCTAAAGACCTCCAAACCTCATGTGGCTTTCAGATTAGCACAACAACAGTGTGTAGAGAGCTTCATGGAATGGATTTCCATGGTTGAGCAGCTGCATTCAAGCCTTACATCACCAAGTGCAATGCAAAGTGTCGGCCGCAGTGGGGTAAAGCACACTGCTATTGGATTCTACAGCAGTGTAGACGTGTTCTCTAGGGTGATGAATCATGCTTCTCTGGCAATCTGATGGATGTGTCTGGGTTTGGTAATTGCCAGGAGAACAGTACTTGCCTGACTGCATTGTGCCAAGTGTAAGTTCCAGTAAATGGAACTCTTAAGGTGTCAGCATACCAAGACATTTTGGACAATTTCATGCTCCCAACTTTTTGGGAACTGTTTGGGGATGGTCCCTTCCTGTTCCAACATGACTGCGCACCAGTTCACAAAGCAAGGTCTATAAAGACATGGATGAGCGAGTTTGTGCAGGCCAGTCAAGTTCCTCCACCTCAGAGTCCCAACCTCAACCTGATAGAACACCTTTGGAATGAATTAGAGCGGAGACTGCGAGCCAGGTCTTCTCATCCAACATCAGTGCCTGACCTCACAAATGCGCTTCTGGAAGAATGGTCAAACATTCCCATAGACACACTCCTAAACCTTGTGGACAGCCTTCCCAGAAGAGTTGAAGCTGTTATAGCAGCAAATGGTGGGCCAACTCAATATTGATCCCTACGGACTAAGACTGGGTTGCCATTAAAGTTCATGTGTGTGTAAAGGCAGGTGTCCCAATACTTTTGGCAATATAGTGTATGTGCAGATGACTGGATAATTGAAATGAACAGTCTCACAATTTTTTAAGTAAAGATCAGGGCAGTAGGGGTCGCTCTTGTAGAAACCTCCCAAACTATATGGTAGATGTATGCAAGATGTAATATTGGCTACTCTGGGGGTTGATTCCCCTTGAAGGCTTTTAGCTGCGTCTTTATTGCCTGTTTTAGTAAATGTTTATGGCCTTAATAAGGAAAATCAATCATAATCTATTTTATGGCTGCATTGTCTAGGCAGAAGCCAACAGCCTTCTGTTGATAGGTGTAAACCCGATCTGAGAGCAGATTACCCAGAATCTGCTAATGTTTCCTCTGGCAGACAGTCAGAGCCCATCCGGTTCTCCAACTCTGGACCTCATTTAATAAAGTGTCAAAACTAAGTGCTGCCTGTGTTGCCCTATTTACATAAACACATTTCCTCCTTTCCAGTTTCACTGGAAAGTGAACAGAAAACTGTAAGGGCTTGTTTACACTTGCAGTTGGGGGCAGTAAAAATAGACAGTTAATCTGTGCCGTCCTCCTTAAAGTGTAACTAAAGGCACAAGTAGTTACTTTGGTTCCAATGGTTCAATGCCCATGAAGTCCATTGTCAGCATGTTCTCCATGGGTTCTTCTGGGTGTTGGTCTTCAACCTGTTCAATTGGCTGGTGCAGGATGATGTTGCTTCTGCAAATGTACCAGAGTGCAGACATCCCAACACACTGGCAGTGTGTCAACATTTAAACTGGGTATGCAACCCTATATTATAACGGTCTTCCTGATGTACCCTTCTGGTTTCCAGTTTACCATTGTCTCGAATGGCAATTTCCATACAGTGTTACAGTTCATTGATATTTTGGTTGTAGACAGATGCTAATGGATTGCACTCACACCTGTGTTCTCCTGACTTATGGGGATTCTGTGGATGAGACCTAGGGAGGACCATGGTTAAGTTGCACCTCCCCCCAGAAATAACAGGGAGTATATCATTCATTCCCTCTGCTGTGTTACTGACACTTCATTTACACACTGATGCCATGACGGGCCACTGTGTTGTAAAGAAGATTATTTACCTGCAACAGTGCAAGCAGGCAGGCCATGGAATGACAGGACCAAACAATGCACATGTGATGGGTATTAATCACACAAACTGATGGGTGCTGGGCAACAGCACAGAACCCTCTAATTACAATCTGTTTGATACTCTCCAATCTATTTCCTACTACCAATGTCACATTTAGGATTATTTATTTATATGGATACCCTGAACAGCCAATCAAAAATAACCTTTCTCTAGTAGGACTACTGCAACATTATGAAAAATAAAATAGAGTTGTAGGTAACTATGCAGTTGCCTTTGTAAAACACATCTATAATTTCTATCATTTGTCTTCTGTTTTTAGTCTTTCAGCTTCACATATCTTATTCCTGGCACTTTCTCACATACCACCTGTTCCCATAACAGACGTCTGGTGTTAAAGACCCCCAACATAAATCGTACAATAAAGACACGTTGAAAATGTTTAGTAATAGCAATCTACAAACTGATACATATAAATGATTGCAGGCTTCATATTTTCTGCATACCTTATTTTTCTTTTCCTTCCCATTATTCGCATGTGACAACTTTTTACTAAGGGCAGATGAATCCATCTCCCTTTACTTCCTGGAACTCTACCTAGAACTCTGGGTCTATATGTGACAGGAACTTCCCAGAATTCAACTGTAAGGCCAGGGTGACCTCACCAGTGCCTTAAAGAAACCAGGAAGTGGAAAACAGTAATTGTAAGTAAAAGCAAAGAAAGGTTTATTAACTAATGGATGTATGATTTCATATCAGCATGCAGAGCTGTAGTCTGCTGTGATATCTAGTGAAAGGGTGGAAAGGTCTACTTTTAATGTGTAACTCCCTTCAACGATTTCACAAAGATGTCATAGAAGGGAAATTACATTTTTGAGGCATTGTTTATTAATTAGCTCACTTTTGCCCATTTGTGGTGATTGGGGAGTGCACATATCTTACATTTCTAAGTAAAAAGAAAAAGTGCACACCCCTCTCCTATCCCACATTGTAGGGCTTGATATGTCCTTCCCATTTTTGGGGGACATAACACTTAATTGAGGAGCTGGGCAGCAGCGTTAAAAGTACCTTGCTGCTTAGATCGGCTTCTATGGATATGTAGCATTTGTGACCCCAGAACAGGTTTAGTTTATTAATATAACATACTGTACTTCTAGATGAGGTCATGGGATGCATGCTCCATGATATCAGAATTCATATGATAAGAGTTTCATTCACAGGAGATTTGTCATCTTTACAGCAGATCTCCTCGGGTCTTACTAACAGCTAAAGTTTAGGAGATTTTCTACAAGAAACACTAAGGTTGATTTACTAAAGCACTGGAGCTTAGTAAATGAAGTAAAGCTCCACTTTGCAAAGAATACCCAATCACATGCAAGGAAAATAAAAAAAAAAAAACAGTATTTTTGCTTGCACATGATTGGATGATGGAAGTCAGCAAAGATTCTACTCATTTACTAAGCTCTGGAGCAGCTGCACTAGCAGAGTGCACAGTTTATTTGCCTTTAGTAAATCAACCCCACTGTTAGTAAAAATCTTACTGCCAGTGTTCAATATAATTCAAATGGTGGTTTGTGTAGCTGCTAGACATGGCTCATAGCTTATCAAGGCATTGTTCAAACTCCTGTTTACCCGTACAGCGTGGGTGCTGGCGTGACACACTAGGCCAGCCACATGGGGGGAAAGGTAAAGTATAGGTTGAGACACAACAAGAAATCTGATGTCAGCTGACACTATTTAGAACCAGACTGATTGCCATTGAAAACACAGGATCCTTTTATCAAGTTTTACAGATAAGGTCTAGGATGCCATTACAGTACACAGAGGAAAATTCATCTTCCAGTCAGAGTATGTAGGACTTCTTTGTTTCTTTTCTTAAAACTTGCACACTAGTATACAGAGCAATTAACTGGTTAAGAAAAGAGCACTTGTCCCCCTCCTCCCAGACGGAGCTGGGCATGCATTATAGTGGAGGTGAGAGCATTGGATGTCTTCCCAGATGTCTCCACATATGACGTGTTCTGTGCATATTGATGTGAGTGATGCTCTTTTCCTGCATAGGAAATCTATGGGAGGCTTACACTTGCTGATTCTTCTATTAAATGTCTGTAATTTGTGCTGAAACCAGCAGTTTTTTTGACAACCTCCTGCTTCAGTATCTTATCAGCACCATTACAGACCGTGAAACTCACTACAAGCAAAATCTGAGAAATATGCCATGCTGGGTATGAAAGGCTAGAGCGATGAACTGATCAGATAGAGTACCATCATTGCTCGCTGTCCACTCACAATATTTCTGCCATACTTGTGTCCTGGGTTTAGTTTCTCTCAAGTTCTTACAGTATGTGTTTCACTGGCCCTAGCATGTGTCTTAGGACCTGTTCACACAGGTGGACTGATTAGGTCCACCTGTCCATTTTTCAGACCACCCATTGTTCTCTATGAGGAGGTGGATGTAAACGGACATATCTCTGTTTACACCTGCCTTCATCCGATCTGCTAAAAACAAATGGATGGGGGATCCTTTCCGCATTCATCTAGCAGATTATATTGGATGACAGTTGGATGCAAAGGGACAGGCAGTCCGTTTACATTCAACCACCCCTTAAAGAACAGAAGGCTGTGTCCATGTCCTCTTGGCACAAGTGGACATGTACCTGTCATCCATCTGCTTGGTGGGGATCAGTTGACCGATCTCCCTCCAAGCAGGCGGACCTGCTTGTAGGAGTCATACGCTAAACAGATGGGGAATGGATCCCCATCCATGTGTTTTTTAGCAGATTGTATCAGATGCAGGCGGATGTAAACGGACACATGTGCATTTACATCCGCCTCCCCATAGAGAACAATGGGTGATCCAACCAGCTCCGCCTGAAAAACAGACAGACCTGATTGGTCAACCCTTATGAAAAGGCCCCAGGAGAGAGGTGGAGAGATTAGATTGTGACTTGTGTTCTCTGTAGGATGCCATGGAACTTTTCAGAGATAGCATTAAGTAATGTCCAATTGCAACTTGTCTTGGCAGGGCCGCAGCTGGATCGTTAAAAGGAGTTATGAAGATTTTAGGGTGCTGGACAAACACCTCCATCTATGTATATATGACCGGCGCTTCTCTCAGCTCTCAGAGCTGCCCCGTTCCGACGCCGTGAAGGACAGTCCAGAGGTGAGCTATCTGCAGGTGTACCTGCTGTAAGCCTGCATGGAGGATGTATAGTCAGGTGATGTTTGTGAAAGGGCCATTCAGAAGAAACACAGTGAACTCATTCAGGCTCCCCTCTTCATTTGCACAGGTGCCTGGTTTAGCATCTTTTGTCAGAAATGTACATTATACCTTTAAATGTCAGCAGGGTGTGTAGCCTTTGTTGCTATAGAAAGCTTCAAGTTGTAGAGATATGCTGCAGGTGCAGCTAGGTACCCAATACAACACATCCTAAGAAAACAAGATCCGCTCAGTGCAGCTATGCACTGCTGATTTGAATGGTGTCTGCTTCATAGTTGTGTCTTTCATATTTACATAAAGAGTTTTATAGCTGAAAAATTATACAGGATCACAAGAAATGCTTTTAAAAGTGAAGTTGTCTGGGCCTTTGTATTGGTTAGTAAGGTTGCCCATCACAATAAAGATCCAGTAGGAACAGTCAAGAGAAGTGGGCAGAGCAAAGATCAATTCTTATGGGAAAAGGTGGGATTTGCTTAGAACTTTAGCTGCTCTGGATCTTTTGATCATTTTTACACAGACTTTTCACTGAAGATAAATTTTGGTTATGTGTTTGTTATAGCTCAGCTCATCTGTCCAGTTATAGCTCAGCTGCCTAAATATATGAAATTTACTTTTTAGGGTTTTATTAGAAGTCTCACATTTATTGCTTCCGGAATATTACAGCTATTTCTCTCATTACATTCCAGCTGGTCACACAGATGCTGATGGCTTACCTGACACGCCTGTCAGCCATCGCCGGAAACAAGATCAACTGTGGGCCAGCCCTGACGTGGATGGAGGTGAGTTCTGGCTCTATGGGAAAGCTCCATTGTTGGCTGCTCTGAATATATAACAGAGGAGACAAGTGATGTAGCTCACATTGTAGGAATTTGTATGATGTGTCCTCTGATGTGTTCTCTGACAGATCGATAATAAAGGAAACCATTTGCTTGTGCATGAAGAGTCATCCATCAATGTTCCGGCCATTGCTGCTGCTCACGTTATTAAACGCTACAATGCACAGGCTCCAGATGAACTGTCCTTTGAGGTATTTATTTCTTAATTATTTATTGGGGCACAACCTGCAGGGCGACTCGTTATAAAAGAAGTGAACTCCAAGAAGATATAAAAGACACTTATTAATGCAGCACTGTCTTTTTTAATACATCCATTAATGTATTTTGTAAGTACCTAAATGGACTTCTCAGCTTCTGCAGTCTTGCTATACAGCAGACGGGGAGAGGAAGAAGCTGCATAAGGAGACAATCATTTACATTTCAGCACCAATAATGGGCATGCTAATAGGAGGAGAGCAGAGTGACAGAGATGCACTCATCAGTCTGCTTCTTTTCCTTCACTGTTCAGTCACAGGTGTGGGTCGGGGGCTGTGTTGCTGAACTGCAGCAGAGAAAATTAGGTTCCCTGTCGTGCCAGACAGGGCTGTGCTGTGTGGCACAGCAGTATAAATCACAGGACTGGATGGGATGAATTACAAATTCTTTGGCAAACAAAAAATCTCCCATACATGTATTTAAAGGATACGTTCACTTTAAAAAAAAAAATAATAATAATAAATAAATGCCCAGAAGACTGTCAGTGTAAGCTGTCTGCTCATACCTCATATGGGCAGACAGTTTTACACTGACAGGAAGACTCAATGAACTACTACAGTGCTCAACAGCGCCATGGTAGTTCATTGAGAACTACAATACGACATCTACAAAGGATGTTTGTACTTGTAGTTCATTCATTCACAGAACTCTGTGAATGAATGACACGACTGTGTGGACAGAGCCCCACACAGCAGTGCTGTTTTCAAAAAGTGACAGCTGGTACGAGGATCTTCTCCCTGTACTGCTGTCACAGGGAGATAGGACAACAGCTGTAGCAGTGGGAACGTGTTAAAAATGGGTGGAAGATGTAACATGTTCCCAAAGGTGAGCTTATCCTTTAGTCTGTGCATTTAGCAGTTTGCCTGCTTTGCCTGACTTTTATAGTAATCACACTTGTCTTTTGTGAATGAAATTGGGGAGACAGAAATAGGTGACATTGTTAATTTCTGAGGAACTTTGCAACTTTGGTATTTGTTTTCTCTTTTCTGCAGGTGGGGGATATTGTGTCTGTTATTGACATGCCACCAAAAGAACTAACCACGTGGTGGAGGGGGAAGCATGGCTTCCAGGTAATTCATAAATATTGTATACAATATTTTAACTCCTTCTCTTACCTATTTTCAGTCTGGATTTTTGTTTTTCCTTTTTTTTTTTTTTGTAACCAACCTACACATTGCCATCAGGCCACTCTGATGGAGGCAGTTGTAAAGGGGCACTTTGAGGGATAGGAATTGATGTAAGGGTGCACTCTGATGTGGACATTTTATGTAAGGGGGGACACTTATAGGAACCCCAATGTAAAGGGGAACTCAGAGTCCCTCCTTGCATCAGTCATTCTCAAATAGGAACACCTGATATAAGGGGGCAAAGATTCTCTTTAATCATCCTAATACATTCTAGTGTTCTCTGTTCACTCCTGCACCTCCTCTGCACTACCTGTCAGACAGTACTTCCGGATATTGACTCTGTGGTACAGAGGCGCGCTGAGTGAACAGGGAATACTGGATCCATGCATCTCTGTCACACTATCGACATTATTCCCCCTAATTTTTTTTACTGCACCCCTAGATCAGATAGGCTAGATATGGCCCTGATTGCCATTAGGTAATTCTTTATTGGTCATTGAGAAGTAGGTTTCAGCTGTTACTGACTGCTTTCTCCTGCAAGGTGACGGGCAAAATATGAAAAGAAGTCTTGGTTAGAATGTGGAGAAGTATAGACAGCAGGGTGACTCAGTGGTTAGCACACTGGCTGATACATCAGATCTCTTTAGAATATTAGGGCATTTGTAACATTCTCTCTATATTTGTGTCCTCTCGGAGATCTGGTTCCTTCCAGTCATCAAAAACCCAAGTTAACCTTAAAACGATTCTTGTACGTAGGAGCTTTAAAAGTGTAAGCTTTCCTAGCACAGATGCTGAAGTGAATGAGACTATGTGGAAAGCACTGCAGAATATACAACAACTGAAAACGTGTTCAATTTCCATCTCTTCTTCTGACACAGGAAATACAGGATGACATGCTGGTGCATGGAGGTGCCTGTAGTTCTGAAGTCAGAATACTGCTACCCTGTCCCTATGCAGCCCTCCACAGTGTGAGTAACAGTGGCTTCTGGCAGGGATTGACAAGAGATGTCATTCATCCTTGTGTCTCCACACACAGACCGAGAAGTGTTTCCATGGAAATAAAGGCACTCTTGATGTGGGACACCGGCAGAAGCTGTTGAGTGTCTTTGTATTCTCTGCCCGCAGCCCACCAAGCTGTAGAAGAAGATTAGGACTGAACAGTCACACATGACCTTGAAATTAAGTAGTGTAAAAAAAAAAAAATTATATAAATATGGGGTAAAATAAGTATTGAACACAGCACCATTTATCTCCGTATATATTTTTCTAAAGGTGCTATTGGCATGAAATTTTCACCACATGTCGGTAACATCCCATGCAATCCATACATGCAAAGAAACCAAAACAGATAAGTTCAGAAATTAAGTTATGTGTAATAAAATGGAATGGCACGGGGGAAAAGTATGGAACATGCTAACTGAAATTTATTTAATACGTCATACAAAATCTTCTGTTGGTAATGACAGCTTCAAGATGCCTCCTGTATGGAGAAACTAGTTGCATGCATTGCTCAGGTTTGATTTTGGCCCATTCTTCCACACAAACAGTCTTCAAATCCTAAAGGTTCTGTGGTCCTCTTCTGTGAGCTCTGATCTTTCGTGCTTTCCATAGATTTTCTATTGGATTCAAGTCAGGTGATTGGCTGGGCCATTCTAGCAGCTTTATTTTCTTTCTTTGAAACCAATTGCGAGTTTCCTTGGCTTTGTGTTTGGGATCATAGTCTTGCTGATATGTCCACCCTCATTTCATCTTCATCATCCTGGTAGATGGCAGCAATTTTTATCAAGAATGTCTGGGTACATTTTTACATTCATTGTTTCTTCAAGGACATGAAGTTTACCAGTACCTTATGCTAAAAATAGCCCCACACCAGGGGTGTATTTACCTCAAAGCAAACAAGGCGTTTGCCTGGGGTGTCAATTTTCAGGTGGGCAGCGCCACCCCCTGCTTTCATAAGACAGCAGCTTCCCCAACATCCGAGCTCCCTGCTTCCCCCGCCGGCTCTCCTGCAGGTTCCCCGTCACGGCCCCCTACACACTGGCCGGCTCAGGATCTCCAGCCTTCACACAAAGAGAAGTGAAGTTACGAGGTGCAACACACAGAGAGCAGGCCTCCACACAGCCCTCCACCTGTCCTCTTATAACATGCCCCTGGCGGCTCAGTGCAGAGCTCTCAGCCCTTCCACATCAATTGCACTCTCACAATGCCCCACTCTCTGCACTGACACGTAACGGCCGCTTCCATAAACACAGGAGGTGAGCCAGGCTGAGCATGCGCACATCAGCCGAATGACATGGCCAGATTAGAGCTGTTTCCTGGATGGCAGAGGGGTGCTGGTACGGGCTGCTTCATACTATATACTATAGAGCCAGTGTTACTAGAATATTAGAGCCTACCACGGGAAAGAACCAAAAACTCTGTCGTCATCATCATATTCCTGACTTCACTGGGGACATTTTCCCTCACTTCCTATCCCTGTGACACCAGGACAAGAAATGTGGGAGTGATTGTCACAGATATGAAGGCACAGAAGTTTTAAGACCTATTTCTAACATATGCATTGGGCACAGTTGCCCAAAGCATAGACCATGTTATTAGCGTTATGTCCTATTGTTTGGGTGTGCAGTGAGAAAAAGGAGGATAGGATTTATTTTTAAGCAGCTCATTCTCATGCACTACACCACATTGAAACACACTACAGTGCATATAGTTTAATAAAGAGTCATTCTATGGCATTACAATAAAGTAACTATGTATTGCGCCGCTCCTATACAATGCACACCAGTGGGCCCACATTATGGGAAGCAAACCATCCATCTGCTGGTTCCCCTGTTCATCCAGGGTTGGTTTGTCTGGAGTCAACCAAGTCTATGAAGTGAGGAGGCCAAGTATACAGTGTACATAAAGAAGAACAATTGAATATGTCATCCAACATGAGTACTTGTCTAAACCAGTAGGCCTGCATGGCCTAGAGACTTTAGAAATCTGGTGCCAAACCTGCGTCCTGGAGGCCACATGCAGTCCCTTAAGACTTTGAGTGGAATTTACTAAGATTGGAGTAGCAAGAATCGAGCAGCTGTACATGGCAACCAGTCAGCTTCTAGATTTTATTTTAAAGGTAAAAGCTGATTGCTTACTATGCACAGGTTCTCCATTTTCTGTCTGCTCCAGTTTTAGTAAATCTCACCAATTCTGTGTGGCTCTTGGAACCCCTGCAGATACTAATCTGTGTTTCCCTATTGCCCTGCTATAGCAACGATTTCTATCAGTCTCATGTCTCCAGTCAATGACAGTCTCCTGAAGCATGTCCACGGTCTCTGACCATCTCTTGTATCATGTCAGCAGTTTGTAACCATCTCTTGTATCAAATCTGCAGTCTCAGAGCATTTCCTGTATCATGTCTGCAGTCTCTGACCATCTTTTGATACAAATCTGCAGTCCAGCGGTGTACTTACCAGGAGGCAAACAAGGCATTTGCCTCAGGCGGCAATTTTCAGGGTAGTAGTGCCGTCCTCTTGCTGTCATAAACAAGCTCATCCATGCTCCCTGCTTCCTTCGCCAGCTCTCCTGCAGGTTCCCCGCTCCTGTCCCTGCACACAGAGCCAATTCACCAATTCTCCAGCAGAAGAAAGCCATCGCCTTGGTTGGAGTTAAAGAGGACCCGGCTGCCACAGCCATCACATCCTTCATGCTGAGGTACCACTCTCTGCCCTGTCCTCTCCCTCCGGAGCCGCTCTTCAACCAGAGCCGCCCTATGTTGTTTTTGGGGTGAATGTGTTGTACCATTTGACCTCCGAACATGGTGTGTATTATGGCATCAAAAGAGTTCAATTTTGGTCTCATCTGACAAAACTATATTCTTCCATTATTTCACAGGCTTTTTTTAAATGTTGTAAAGCAAACTTTAAATGTGCTTCAACATACTTTGTCTTCAGCAATGGAGTCTTGCGTGTTGAGCGTTCATACAGGCCATGGTGGATTAGTACATTACTTATTGTTTTCTTTGAAACAATTGTACCTGCTAATTCCAGGTCTTTCTGAAGCTCTCCACAAGTGGTCCTTGGCTCTTGGACATTTCTTCTGCTAATTCTTTTCACTCCTCTGTCAGAAATCTTGTGAGGAGCACGTGGTATTGGCTGATTTATGGTGAAATTATGTTGTTTCCACTTCCGAATTATGGCCCCAACAGTGCTCAGTGAAACATTCATAAGTTTAGAAATCCTTCTGTAACCAATGCCATCAGTATGTTTTGTAACAATTGGGTTGCGAAGGTCTTAAGAAAGCTCTTTGCTTTTACCCATCATGAAATGTGTCTTGTGTGACACCTTGGTAATGAGACACTTTTTTATAGGCCATCAGTTGAGACTGAACCAGCTGATGTTAATCTGCACTGACTAGGGGAAGGATTGCTTTCTAATAGATTTCAGCTTGTGTCTTGGCTTTCTGTGCCTTTTTTTTTTACCTCCCTTTCTTCATGTGTTCAATACTTTTTTTCCTGTGTCATTCCATTTTATTACACATAACCTAATTTCTGAACTTATTTGTTATGGTTTCTTTGTACATATGGATTGCATGGGTTGTTGCTGACATGTGTTGACAACTTCATGTCAATAGCACCTTTTAGAAACATGTTTACCTAGAAATATGGTGACATGTTCAATACGTAATTTACCCACTGTGTGTGTATGTATGTATGTATCACTACCCACAGAGGGGCTGCTGTGAATTTACCAGATTCTTTCCCAAGCAGTGCAGAGGCAGCCAAGAACACAGCAACAGTCCACTCCCTCCAGCTCACTGAACATTCTAGGGGGTTGTCTTTTACAGATTATTTGCTTGTAGGAACTTGTAAAAGGAGGGGATTTGTGGTTACGTGGGACACTTCAAATGTTTAGGTATTGTTAGCAGAGGGCATTTCTCTAACAGTAGCACAAGTACAGGTAGATTGGAGCAGTCCATGCGTTCACGCCTGGAGACCAAGAAGTGCATCCTGTTGTAGTGTAGTCCAGCATTCAGCCACAGGACTGCAAGGGCAAACAGCCCACTCTTTTCAGCTCACAGATCCATTCCTGCAGCAGGGAAAAATTTGCATTCTCTGTCACTAAGCTGCAGAAAATTCTTGTAGAGGCAGGAGAAAGCCACCAAACTCCCAGCCTGTGAAACCCTGAACAGACCCTGATTACAGTACAAGCCAGAAACTAAACTTGCCTAACCAGAAGGGTGCTACGTGTATACAGTATATATTTAATGTGTGTGTCTGTGTGTATATATATGTGTGTGTGTGTGTGTGTGTGTGTGTATATATATTTTATATATATATATATATATATATATATATATATATACTATATATATATATATATATATCTTAAGCTGTGTTTTGTTAGAAGAAATAATTATTATTTTTTAAATAACTGTAAATATATACGTAAAAGCTGTATAAATATACAGGATAAATTATCAGATCATGCTATAACACATTAATAGTTAAACAGCTGCCCTGATGTGTTGATGTTTTCCATAGGTTGGCTTTTTTCCCAGTGAATGTGTGGAATTAATTAATGATAAAGTTCCTCAGTCAATGACCAACTCTGTTCCAAAACCAGGTGAGTGCTTCTCTGTGTGGCACCTGTGGCCCGGAATGTGTCTGCGTCTACGTTATTGTGTCTAATCTTGTCATGCTAACCTTATATACAAATGTATATAGAAGAGAGGACATGTTGTATGTGGTCCTGTACAATGCTAAACCATCATTGTACATTACTCTTATCCTGTACTGTTCATTCTGTTTTTCTAACTCCGTGTCTGTAGAAAGTTCTCCCATCATACACATGATGTGGACTGTTTAGAATTCCACTAACACTGAATCTGGAATGAGTATCAGACTGATGGTTGGTAGGCAGTGCAGCTCTGTGTAGACAGTGGATGGAGAATGTTCTCTAATCCAGGCTGTTGGTTGGTAGACAGTGTAGCTTTGTGTAGACAGAGGATGGAGAATGTTCTCTAATCCAGGCTGTTGGTTGGTAGACAGTGCAGCTCGATGGAGAACGTTCTCTAATCTAGACTGATGGTTGGTTGGCAGTGCAGCTCTATGTAGACAATCGATGGAGATCATTCTTTAATCCAGGCTGTTGGTTGGTAGGCAGTGCAGTTCTATAGAAATGGTGGATGGAGAACGTTCTCTAATCTAGGCTGATGGTTGATGGTGTAGCTCTGTGTAGACAGTGGGTGGAAAGTGGTCTCTAGTCTAGTTTGGGCCAGAACTAAATTGTGAATCAACTGAGCTTGAGCAAATGGCACAGGGAGCCTCTTGCTCTCTTCCACTCCCACAATGTATAATAATAATCAAGAAATAATTTTTCATTTCTCCCATATACCAGACAAAACTCCATATACTACAATATTCCTGCACACATATTTGTACGCGCTGCATTTTTATGAACACACAAATCTTGGAAGAGGATCTAAAGGCAATGGTTCTTTCTACCCAATAAAGTATGTGTATTGTATACCTGAGTACAGCAACATTTCTAGTATTCACAGAGAATAAAAAGAGAATCCCAAAGATGTTACTGTACTGTATAGCACATGGTCACATGCAAAAGAATCTGATCAGTTGGAACTAATCCGTTACCACCTATGTCCACTGTTAGGAGACCCTGATGGACTGTTTTTCATAAAACTGGGGGCTTTACGGTGACAGGACAAGTAGCTAGACATATTTTTTGGTCATGAGGAAAGGTTTGTGTCTTGTAAAGGAGCTCAGAGCTTCTGTACTTGGATGGAAACATGGTGTAAGGTAAAACCTTGGCAGCAGCTAGCAATTTAATATTGCAGTTTGAAAAGTGAATCAGATTTTATGAGCCATGTTGGGGTTTTTTTTTTTTTTTCATTTTTTTAATGAGTTTTTAACTGGTTGGAAAAGTAAGAATTTTTTTACCTTATGGCATGCCCTACACTAAGGGAAAACATGTTCAAGAATTTGTATCACCCCCTCCCCCCCTTATACTTACCTGAGTCCTATTCTACCTTGATCCAACACTATCCCCATCTGCAGCAGTGCTGGTCTCTCTCCTGACAGGACTGCTGCTGGTAATCAAATCTTGTGAGGCAGGGGCGGGGCCGAGCCATGCTGTGTGTGTGTCTACGAACACATACAGACCAACTCGGAAGCAAGAAAATACGTGTGCCCCTATAGCAAGCGGCTTGCTATGGTGGCGCAAGCAGTAGAGGAGGTGCCAAGATTGCCAGCATGGGACCCCAGAAGAGGAGTGTCAGGGCCACTCTGAGCAATGCCATTGCACAAAGCAGGTAAGTATGCCATGTTTATTATTTTATTAAAGCAAACAGACTTTCTAACCACTGTAATTCTTAAAAGAGAGGCATGGCTGGGAAGATATGTCCTGTATGAGGACCTGTAGCTCCTGCTATCTGCTACCTGCTTATCAGTCACTGAACTCCTATTTGTTATTTACAAGATACTTTGGAATGTCTTTGTGTGTAAGTCTTTGTGTGTCTTTGTACTAACAATGGAGCCATGGAGCAGATTGTGTTACACTCATTGCCTACAAGACCCCATTTATGTCATGTTCCCTCCATGAGCTGTGTTTGGCATTTGTCCACCGGTTGTGCCCTGTGTAACATTCCTCTCTGCATGAGTGTCACTTAAAGTCTAGTCAAAAGTATGGGCCCTAGGTGTACAGTAACACTGGCTGATAATGTAAGTGCCGGCCCCTTAGAGCCGCCACTTTAGGAAAGATGAAAGTTCTGCTTTGCTTGTTTGCTTTTTAATCCTTTGTTGTGATCTGTTCCCTCCAGTCTCCCCTGCGCATGGAATGAGGCCGGCATCCTGGAGCTACTTCCCCCCCTGTACGGTTCCATGTCTCTCTCTCTTTATCTCTCTTTCTCTTTCTCTCTCTCTCTCTCTCTTTCTCTCTCGGCGGGAGGGGGGGGACAAAGTGGTAGAAGACAGAACATTATAATATATAGGAAAGATGACAGTAGATAATAAAGATATGAACCCTGCTGCCATATACACAAGATATATAATCTACAGTAATCTGTATAAAGCTCACCACACATTTTACAATCTGACCTTACTATCTTTATACAGTTGCAAGAAAAAGTATGTGAACCCCTTGGGATTACGTGGAGTTTTGCATGAATTGGGCATTAAATGTGCTCTGAACGTCATCTAAGGCACAACAATAGAAGAACACAGTCTGCTGAACATAATACTACACAAACATTAGATGTTGCCATGGTTTAATTGCACATAACATGTAAACATTCACAGTGCAGGGAGGAAAAACTATGTGAACCTTTGGACTTAATAACTGGTTGACCCTCCTTTGGCAGCAATAACCTCAACCAAACGTTTCCTGTAGTTGCAGATCAGACCTGCACAACGATCTGGAGTAATTTTGGACCACTCCTCTTCACAAAACTGTTTCAGTGTAGCAATATTCTTGGGATGTCTGGTGTGAATCGCTCTCTTAAGGTCATGCCACAGCATTTCAATCGGGTTGAGGTCAGGACTCTGACTGGGCCACTCCAGAAGGCGTATTCTGTGCTGTTGCAGCCATTGTTTTGTTGAATTACTTGTATGCTTTGGGTCATTGTCCTGTTGCATCACCCATCCTCTGCGGTGCTTCAGTTGGTGGACAGATGGTCGTACGTTTTCCTGCAAAATGTCTTGATAAACTCTGGAATTCATTTTCCCATCAATGACAACAATCCGTCCAGGCCCTGAGGCAGCAAAGCAGCCCCAAACCATGATGCTCCCTCCGCCATGTTTTACAGTGGGGATGAGGTTTTGATGTTGGTGTGCTGTGCCTTTTTTTCTCCACACATAGTGTGTGTTCTTCCCAAACAACTCAATCTTGGTTTCATCTGTCCACAGTATATTTTGCCAGTAGTGCTGTGGAACATCCAGGTGCTCTTTTGCAAACTTCAAACGTGCTGCAATATTCGTTTTGGACAGCAATGGCTTCCTCTGTGGTGTCCTCCCATGTACTCCATTCTTGTTTAATGTTTTCCTTATTGTAGATGTGTCAACAAAAATGTTAGCATGTGCCAGAGATTTCTGTTGGTCTTTAGCTGACACTCTGGGATTCTTCTTTACCTCATGCAGCATTCTGCGCTGTGCTCTTGCAGTCATTTTTACAGGACGACCAGGCCTAGGGAGAGTAGCAACAGTGCTAAACTTTTTCCATTTGTAGACAGTCTGTCTTACCGTGGACACATGAACATCAAGGCTTTTGAAGGTACTTTTGTAACCCTTTCCAGCTTCATGCAAGTCAACAATTCTTGATCGTAGGTCTTCTGAGAGCTCTTTTCTGCGAGGCATGGTTCACATCAGACACTGCTTCTTGAAACCAGTAAACCCAAAACAGGTGTGTGTTTTTTAAGGGCAGGACAGCTGTCAGCAACACATCCAATATCATCACACTGATTGGAGTCAAGGTTGGCTCACTCCTGGCTCCAATTAGCTCTGGGAGAAGTCATTAAGCTAGGGCCTCACATACTTTTTCCTCCCTGCACTGTGAATGTTTACATGTTATGTGCAATTAAACCATGGCAACATCTAATGTTTGTGTAGTATTATGTTCAGCAGACTGTGTTCTTCTATTGTTGTGACTTAGATGACGTTCAGAGCACATTTTATGCCCAATTCATGCAAAACTCCATGTAATCCCAAGGGGTTCACAAACTTTTTCTTGCAACTGTACATTTACATTTTAATTTACCACAAGTATGTAATATGCGGGCCTGCCTAAATGAATAATTGAAAATGTATGCAGTCAAGCAGGCCATTGCACTACCGAATAGTTGGTGATCTATAAGAGATTTTACAGTGAGATTGTAACATGTATGGTGAGCTTTGCTCATTACATTGCATGCAGAATGTGTTAGCTCTACTAAACTGCATGTTAAAAGAACTTGTCCCTCCACCAAAGTGTATACACAAACATTACCTCAAATCTTATGCCCAAGCTGTGCACAGGGCGTTCCATAGAAACATAACCTGTGCTCATCTAGGTCCTCTGTTATTTTATCTAGAGCACAAAGTGACCAGAGCACAAGGGCAGAAATATTCATTCATACAATTGAAGGTGGACTTGTCAAATACACTTTCTGCACTCTGTAGCAACATGCCAAAAACCTATGCAAGTATCTGCAAGCACATTGTTCTCTCTATGGATCAGCTACAGGCAGAATTTATCCACAGCCTCAGTGACAACTTACATACAATGGAAAATATTCTTTTAGGAGCCTCAACCCAGTAATGTATAGTTATATCAACATTTAGTTTTATAAATGATATCCAAGCCATGTGTAAATTTGTCATTTTCAGGATACACGAGCAGTACATCTAGTGGGTCCTGGCAGTGTTCTTCACTTCATGTTCTCCTTTTTGACTTTTATACACTTATTCTTTTTTTGTATCCTCACTCTGTCCATGCGTTGTCCTTCATAATCACATTTGTCTTCCCTTCCCCATTAATGACAGATTTGGAGATGGATAGTGTAAGGACAGGGCTGCCGTGCTTTTCTGAGGTACCAAGTCCCTACAAGCTCAGTTCAGGTACCTCTTCTGTGTACA